GAGGCAGCTGTGTCTGCCTGACCCAGCTGGAAACTAAGGCGAAGCAGAAGCTCTGCCGGCCTGGCCAGGGGCATCTGGGCCTCCCTGTGTCCTGTGCAGCCTTGTGTCCTCTGAAGAGGGGTGCTCTGGTACATCTCTGTAGCACTTCGGGGTTACTCTGGTCCGTAATATGTACATCTAGAGCCACAAGTGACCCAGCACTGGGTGTGGTGGGGGGACAGGGGCACGTAAGGAGGTAGGCACTGAAGTAGTTACACCACTGAGTCTTCTGCTGACTAATACTCTTTCGCAAGTACTTTGGGGATTATGTTCTCTTCCCCCCCCATGGCTTTTCTCTAAGCCACCTTTTTTGTTTTCTAGTATTTTTAAGTTTTTTTTGTTAGTGGCATAGATCTTAATAAAGGAATTGGGATATAAATGTAGGAGGGCATCTGGGAATCCACCACATTAGTGTTAGATTTGATGCTTTTATGGCAGTAATCTGAGCCTACTACTGTGACCCTAAATAATGTATAAATTGCTAATTAGGAAAAAAACTCCTTATGTGTTAGAAATCTGTCAGTCATTCCTTTGAGTTAGCTACTGAATTGGTAATCTAGTACAGTAGGCCTCTGGTGACAGACGTGATCTGAGCAAATTTCTTTTAGTTGACGTCATCTCTTACATATCGCAGTATGGAAGAATTTTTCCTGAGGCAGATAGTATGCACAATGTTTTTGTATACCTGCTTATATGCTTATTTCTTCACATCAGAAAAGTTGTTAAAAGAGTCTTTATGTAGAGAAAATAAAATTGCTATAAAACAATAACAGTGCAGTTGTTCAGGTACAGGAACTTAATATTGAATTATTCCTGAATCTGTGTCAGTTACCTGTTACTTTAGTAGGAAAGGTCAGATGTTAAACTTGTGTTAGTATGGTGTAATAAGTGATTGGAGTCCTGAATTCTGAACCAAATGCTGTCTTAAATCTGGTCCCCGTGAGTGTGCTGTACTTTGTAGAAGTGGGTATCTGCATATGAAAGAAAGATGGGGAAGGTAGAAGTTGGCCGGGCTTAGCACTCAGGACTTGTAAACTGATGTTTTTATTCTAATGGCAGCATGGATAAAAATATGAGTGAAACTAGTTTTGTTTGTAACTAAAAATGGGTGCTCTTAAATAGCGTCCTGGTACAACTGTCCAAAGGTACCAGTAAAAACCTATGTCCTAACAAATTATTTTTTTAATTTTAATTATTCTTTAATAAATAAAGCTACTGTTTGGTTTTGGCGTTCTGGAGTAAGGAAAAAAAAAAAAAGGTTGGTCTGTGGTTAACTTTGGAGTTGTCACCCAGCATTATTGAAGTAAAGGAATTTCAGTAGTCAGTTTTCTGTCAATGCAGGACTGTGTCCAAATGCTAAAAAGAGAAGAGAGGAGAAAGAAAACGGGGAGGGGGAACCAAAAAATAATAGGGCTTTGTTTTGTTTCTCTAGCCTGGAAATGAATAGAAGCTGTCAGTCATAGCAAACAGCTGTCTGCCACATGGTTAATACACAGTTGCCACAGATGCATAAGACTGGTGATTTTAAAAACCGTGTGCTGAGAATCTTTGTCTCTTGCCAAAAAAAATTACATTTGGCACAAGTACAGTGGCATTATGGGCACTTCTTCGAGGAACCCTACTACTATAGTGTGATGTGCTGGTGAATCTTAGTTGTAGCTATTCATCTATTGGTAGCAAAGGATAGGGGAAAATGTTGTGCATGTGAAAGTTCTTATATACAAAAGGATACAAAAACAATGGTAAGCTAATTCTAGTCTTAAACTTCTGCATCTCTGTTTCTGATGGGTGTCGTCCTTTCTGTTCTGCTGTGTGCCCAGTCCAAGAAGTTATTTCTGGGGTGAAAAGCTGACTTGGAATTTTCTTCTCAAGCTTACAGAAATACTGTGTGAGGCAATATGAAACCAAAAAAATCTTTTGTACTGAATTCTGGTAGAACAAAAATAGAATAGGATAGAAGCAAATGTTTTGAGAAGCAGACCATGTGACTGTTTAGGCAACTGATTTGACAACTTGTGTGGTACTTTGTTTTCAAAGAGACATGCTCAGTAATAGATGCAGAGAAGAGGCCTGTGCTCTTCTAGCAGAGCGTGTCTGCTGTATTATTTTCATGTTCCCTTTATTTTTTGTAGGAGAGAAATTATGGAAAAATGAGATGTGTGTTTATTTACCTATGTGATCTTGCTGTTACTTTCAGACTTGTAATTTACAAGCTTCTGCCAAGCTATGGATATGCTGCAATAATAGTAACTTTTATTTTCTTCCCTCCCTATCAGCCTTCTGCTGCGGTTCACAGATGATACATTTGACCCGGAACTTGCAGCAACGATTGGTAAGTATGTGCTGATGCTACCTTAGAAAAATTTATACCAACTTCAGTGCAAAATTGTAGTTTGTTCAGACTTGCCTAACCGGTAGTGAAGTTCAAACGCGTTTGCTTCTCTGTAAGGAAAGAATGATGTGGACGTAGTTTTAGCATGCAGCGCTCATTGGTGTAGACTATTGACTGTACTGGCCTGTAGTTGTCCCCTTTATGCAAAAATATAACCTTGGCTAGGAAAACAGATATAAATGTTGCCCTTCACCATGAAGATGGAAGTCGTAGGTATGGACAGTGAAAAGGTCTAGTGGAACAACCTGCAGTTCACTGGTAGCCAGCATTTTGGGCTAAAATGGAAATGTAAGAGCTACTGTTATGTCTCTGATTTATCTGTGCAAGATAGCTGTCAAGTTGTTTGAATAGTGATACTGCTGTCCAGAACTTGTGTTCTATGTAATGTGATACTTGGGAGCTATCTTAAGACTTAAGACCCCGCTTTTCAGTAGGGGATGTTAGCTCTTGCAGTTCCTGAAAATACTAGAGTGTACTGGGCTCTGTGTGGCTTCTGCTTTTCCCTCTATAGGGAGGAAATTACAGTGTGGCTTTTTCTATCCTACTTAGTAATCGTTTCTTTGGCAGCTAGACTCTTAAGAAAAATGGAGAAGAGCCAAGAATCTAGAGCTGCTGGGAAAAAAGCGGTGATGTGTCATTGCCATGTTGGTATGATACCTACCAACAAAGTCTGTTGTGCTGGAGGAGTGACCCAGGATGCAGAATATACTATGTAGATGGTTGTCAAAGGAAGTAAAATGAAACTTCTAAGAATGTGATGCAGCTCTGTGCCAAATTAATAGCTTAAGTAATGGAAAATAAAGATGACTTCACACAATGCATTTCAATTGCATTTTTTTTTACTTTCTCTGCAGGAAGAGTTCTATCAAATTTTTTCTTTAAGTTCAGCTGTTGGTAAACAAAGCCAGCTCTAATTGGTTAAGAAGTCAATAAATTGATCTATTTTTCATTAATGTTAATAAGATACAGGAGTACTGTTTCATGTAAAGCACTGAGCAGCCAAGGGGAGGAACATGGCCTTTCTTTGTTCATTTCATTGCTTATAAAAAATGAACTTGTGCAAGTAGCCCTACCTCAGTTCATGAGTGAGGATAGGGTGGAAGAAAGTGGGAATAGAAAAGACCAGGTGGTGGTAAGATGGCAATCTTGTATTCTAATCTAAATAGTTTCAGCACTGTATGTACTTCAAATTGTGTTACTTTCTTGGTATGTCAACCATGTGGGCCAGGAAGCTGCTTCAGCTTTTATGATGTTTTGGATACCAGTAGACTAGTTTGGTCTCAGTGTGGGCATCTTTATTGTTTGTTTTGGTTTTTTTTTCTTCTTAATTGTGTTTTTTTTTTTCATTCTGCTGTTCATTCATAATACTCCTTACTAATGTCTAAAACTGGTATTAGTGCACTATTTAAAAAACTGAGGAATTATTTCCTGAAGTAATTCTTCCTCTTTGGGATTTGTCAAAATGCACAACAGCATGTGTGGTAGCTAATTGCTGGCTGCTAAATATCAACAGCTCAGGGTTTACTGGCAGATCCTACCCTGCTCTGTTTCTGAGGTGGAAAAGGAGGAAGAGTACTCAATGTGAGCATTACTTCAAATAGAGTTTGAGTTCTGAAACAAATATACTAATCTGGAATGAAGATGATCATTTGGCAGGAAAAGGAAGTTTCTAGAGACTGAGCAAATACTGGCCTAGATCACCCTAGCTGTTAGGCCCTCTAGCTGACTAGTTGTGTTGTGCAGTAGAGCTACTGTGACCCCAGCTGTGAAAGTCCTGTAGCATGGTGTGTGGAGCGCTCATGTAGGACAGCAGATTTTCTCCCCCAACCCCCCTTAATTGGAAGGGAAACAGAATCTGGGTTGGTTTTGTTTTCTTGTTTCTTCCTTTTTTTTAAACTACTAGGTTGTGGCATTGCCATTTTTTCTGGTGAATGTGTTGCTAAGAAGCAACAAGTAAGCTTTAAATTCAGGGCAGGATTTGTTGTTCATATGGATGAAGTACTCGGAGTGAGTTTTTAGAGATAACTGTTCCGTGCTGTGTGAAGACAGATCCTAGATGCCAAATTCAGGTACTCTCAAGTTGGTGAAATGCCAAAACACTTCGTGAATCTCAACCTGGATTTGTTTTTGTGCAGATAAAACACTATTTCGTTTTGAGTTTGAGGACAGAAGACATTTTTAAATAATTTAAGGCTTTTGTGTTGAGACTACAGAATATGGTGCTTTTCCAAATGAGTGGATTGGTTACAAATAATGCCATCTTTCAATGACATCTACATACTGACTGCTAAACTGGTTAAAGTGACTGTGTTTTTTTTTATTTGGATTAGAAAGTGAAGAGATAATATGCTCTATCTTTAAAAAACCCAAAACAAACAACTGCACACAAGACCACAACACTGGGGAAAGCCTTGGCTGCAGCACAGCTGGTCCCTTGCAATGACCTGTTGAGATGTACACACAAACCTACTGGGTGCAATTTAAATTAAACCTTAAACTATTGTTTCATGTGCTTTTTTGTTTGGGGTTTTTTTTTTTTTTCCTCAGAATTTTGTAAAAATCCTGTGGTATTCTCAGAAGAATAAGCTGCCTTGGACAAATTTGTCCATCAGTAGCTTCAGCTGCATTAACCACGTTTTATTCAACCTAGTAGATCATCTGTCCTCCTTGCATTTTCTTGAGTCTGACTTGTTCACTGGGCTTCATCACATGGATCTTATCAGAATATATATACCCCTGTATTTTCTGTTGTCCGTACTGCTCATGCTTGTCTTTACTTGCTTGCTCTTTGTATGAGAGATTCTAGATAAGTGTTCAGTGCAATCCCTATTTCATAAGTGAAGTAACCTATTGCACAGATATAATGTCTCTTAACTTTTTTTTAGCCTTATTTGCAGTTGGAGTCCTCCAACTCTGAGCTGTCCAACTTGTCAGTTACCGACAATGCTGATTTTTGCACTTGCTGTAAATACAGCATAGTATATGGGCCTAAATGCGAGAGCAGTGTGAAGGGGACGGAGCTATTCCTTGCAGACTGTACGTCCGTAGTAGGTTACTGTGTAGCGCTGAGTCCATTTGGCTGAGGTGGTAGGTGCCAATGCACAGGAGTGCAGTCTAGCAGTGCTGTCTTGTTTCTGGCTGCCTTCCAAGGCACGGTGGAAAGCACTGTCAGCTTTCTGTTGTCAAGGGTAGAAACATCTCTCTTGCAAGCTTAGAACTGACACCTGTCATACTTCAGTAAAATATAACTTGTTTGGTTTTAGGCAACGTAACTACCCTGTTTGTTCATTTAAACAAGATTTCTTGAGCCCTGCATTTTTTTCTACTTGTCCTCTTTTAAGGCAGATTGATAATAAAAAACCTAGTTATTTAAAAGATTTCTTTTTGTTAACTAGCTTTTTGTATGTGTTGAGCTACTTGGTTTACTAGAATTAATTTGCCATGTCTTGATCACTTTGAATGACATACTTTGTTGTGCTATTTGTTAATTTTTGTACTTCTGCTTTTCAGTAAAAATGGGGTTTATTCACTATTTTACTTTATTTACTTGCATTGCTCATGCAGAGTTTAAAGCATTATCTTTTTAAGCCAGCAGCAAGGCTAACATAAAGGTGTATGTGCACTTCCTATTAAATGAAAATTGCAGAACTATGTAGGCATGAGATACTGAATCTGTTTACTGCATGGGAGAAGAATATGGTGGCTTCAAAATACACTTAATATGTTTGTCATAAGGAACAAAAGTTTTCCTTCTTGAAACTATGACATACTTTTGATTTGTTACGTTAAGTATCTGATAGACTTGTAATATCTGTAGTTACAGGTTTTGATGTCAGACTAATGGATAAAATAATGCTCTGTGAGATGTTGGTCATCCTGGCTGAGCAATGGTTGTTTTTACAGTTCAGGGAAAGAAATATGCCATTTCAGTGGAAGAAGAGATTCTATTAGTCTAAAAGTTACTGCTGAATGCTGAAAAATTGGCAGGACAGGGTGTTCTTTAGGATCAATTTGAGTCACCTTGCTAGCGTAGCAGTCATCTATGAACAGGGTAAAGTTCTAAGAACTGGTGTTTAAGTTAATAGTAACTGTTCTGTGAACATAACTCTAGAGTAATGTACCATCCTTGTGCATGGCATGGAGCATTATATTACTGCTAAGTTAGGGACTAAGAGTCTTATTCCCTGAAAAAAATGGAGTTTTCTTTAGTTACTGTGAAAGTTAACGTTCTTTGGCAAAATTCTGCTTGAAATAAATAGTATGGGCTTCTTCCAGTGCAGAATGTAGTCTGAGAATCACTTGATACTTCAGGGAACACCAGTGAGCTGAAGCTGTGAAACAGTGGAATAAAAATTGTATCTTTTTTTCAAACAAAGCTCTTTTTAACCTCAGTTGCAGTGAAGTCGTAAATCTGCTTGCAATGTGCAGTTTCTTAAGTATCCTATATACCCTCTGTAACTTTAAGTTGAACGTATTTTGGCAGCTATTTGCATTTGTTTGTAATCTGCATGGCCTTGGCAATATAAGTGCAGCACACTTATCATGAGGCCCTACTTAAACATTTTGTGTTAGAATAGTTAAAACAGAAATTCTTATTCTTGTGGCAAGTACGATGACCACCATTTTAAGTCAAAGTGCAAAATGCTTGCTGTTACACTTCAAAGTTGTTCATGTAAAGGTATCAACTTTCCACACTTCTACTTCATTTTGGGGCTGCTGCCTGGTGGGGAGTGAGAGTCACTCCAAAATAATTGAAATGTATTTCCAGTTACTTACTGTTGGTAACTTAAGGATTAAACTTCAGCAAAACGGGGCATAACTGTACCCAGCCTCTCAAACTGATGTGTGTTGCTATATCCTTTAAATTTGCAGCCCTTAACATCTTGTCCTTTGCTTGAGTTTTGTGCAGCTTGTCCTTGGGCAAGTGATAGGCTGCTAGTTCCTGTGCATTTAAAAAAAAAAAAGGGGGGGGGGGGGGGGGGAGTTGTCAGATACTGATGTAGATGACTGTTATCAACAGCAGAACTGTTACCATGTTGTCTGTTTTTTTTCTTGTTCACTGAGCGTGGTATGGTGAGTCCGTGATGTTGTTGGAATCCTTGTAAGAGATACACTGCATGTTTAAATCATCCGAAGCTTATTTGATGTGTTTGTTAGAGTAATACTCTCATCTAACATTATTTCTCACAGGATAGTGATCATGTAGTAAATGAGTCTCTTGTCTGTATTGGTTTACCTCTTCATGATGACCTTGATGGGACTTGTTCAGATTGTTTGAGATAGGGAAACAGCAAATAGCTACCTGAATGCATGCGTCGTCTTTATTTTGAAAGTATGTTGCTCCTCAAGACCACGCATGTACTCAAGGAGAACACATGTGTGAGTAATGAATAGAAAGTTAATCCATTTGAATTTAAACTTGAATATTTGTCCTGGAATACGTGCTTTAATACAGGAAATGTAGTATTTGCCTTACTTCTCTAAAATATTTTGAGCCAATGGCTTAAAAGACCCTATGGCTTTTGTAAAAGCCTTTCTGCAACAAAACCTTAGGTTTTGAGCAAGGTTCATAAACAGGCAATGAAATTTACTCTTCCTGCTCCTCACAATCACATTCAGAAAACAAGGAGTTTTTCCTTTTCTCTTTACTTTCTCTTTCAAAAATAGCTGTAGTATGTTTGAAGAACTAAAATATTTTTTCCTCCTCTAGGTGTGGACTTCAAGGTGAAAACTATTTCAGTTGATGGAAACAAAGCTAAACTGGCAATATGGGTAAGTCTGTCCTAAGTTCTTAATGTATCGCTTTGCTTTAGGAATTGTGATGGCTTGTGTAATGTACAGTTTGTATAGAATTGTTTCTGTTTAATATGGAGGCAATTTGGAGGAGTGGAAGGTTAATACTGAACCATTCAGAAGGTGGAATGAACTGTGGGGCAACTGGCTAATGGAGCAAATCTGTTGCCTGTGAGCTTCTGCAGCACTGATTCCAGGTCTGGTTGGGGTAGGAGGGGAGGAGAGAGAGAGAGAGAGAGGAATAAAATGGTACTAAATCAGTTGGACTTTAAAACTGCAAATGTGGCCATTCCTAGATATTTTTTTAATGAGTAATTCACTGTTTACATTCTAAAGAGTTAGACCTCACTAATCTGAGACTTCCCTGTATACATCGTTCTTGTCTGTACTTGACAGGTTTTAAAAGTGTGCACTTTTTAACCTAAATGTTTTAGGCAAAATTTAGTAGTGTATTAATAGGTTAAGAATTATTGTTGCATGCTCAGTTTATGCTCAGATGTTACCTCTCAGAACCATTTTTAGCCTAAAAACTTTGTAGCCCTCATACAAAGACTTTTACAGGCTCAAGGTCAGTGTTATTTGTAGCAGATGCAGCTGAAAGAGGGAGAGGCAGTGTTTGTAATTTTAGCCTCCGTGTTCAACATCTACTGTAGTTAAAAGTAGAATTTCTAAATTCATGACAAGTGAAGAAAAAGTATTTCCAAGCTTTTTTTAAACATTCTCCATTCTGCAAACCATCCTTCACACTTACATGACTTGAAGCACCTTTTGAATATTCAGACCCAATTGTGACTTCTTGTAACAAGCAAGAATAAAACCTTGTTTCTCATATAAGCAAGATACCTGACCTTTACTTCCTTGGGAAGTAGCAGTGGAACATGAAATATATATTGCAATGCTTCTGTTGCTTTGAGGGTGTTTCATATCTCGATTAACAAATGGGACTTATGTCTTAGTGTGACAGTAGTAACCATCAATAAAATAAATGGGTTTGACAAGGAAAATAACTGCAACAACTTGATGGACAAATGGACATATTGGATGAAAGACAGACTGATAGCAGAATGATGAGTGATCATGGGATGGAAAATATTACATAGGACTAACTTAGGGTTTGTCTTCTTTCATATGAAGAAATAATTCCGAGGTAAACTGAAAAAGAAAAGCTTGTAGAGGTGTATCATGACACAAAACCAGTTTGAGATGTGTGGAATTGACAGAGTGATTTGTAGAGTTTTGGAAGTCAAATTCAGTTATTCAGGTTCTTTGGCAGGATACCATTTTGAATCCACAGTGTTTCATGTGTCACTTCTAACCTGGGGTAACTTGAATGAAGATAAGATTTAAATCTTTTATGCGTAAAGTCTGCAATGAGAGTGCACTATAACTTAACCTCTAATAAGAAAATAGCATTCTAATATCTGGTTTTTTTGCAGAGCTGTTGACACTTTAAATTTGAGGATGTAAATTCAACTTTACTTAAAATCAAACAGACCTCTGACTTATTTCTGCTTCTGCTCTGTCATAGCACGCTAAATGCATTTGCCCTGGCACTGAATTGAATTTATTTGGACCAAGGTGATTGAAATGAGGGAACCAGTTTTGCTGCCATGGGTTTTGATTCTTGTTACAAAATCTTAGTACTGCAGCTACGCTTCTTTCTTGCTGGTTGCTGCTGTATTAACTGCAGAACAAATGCTTCCGCAGAAATAGCTATCTTACTGCTAGATAGTCTAGTTATTTACTATACCTAACAGTTTGAAGTTGTTTCCTAGGATGGACTATGTAAAATCTCAAAGTTAACGTGCCGTAAAACAGCAGGGGAAGGTATAAACTCAGTTAATCTGGTGGTTGAATATACTTTGAATCTTACTTTGTATGTTCCTGAGAGCTAAACTATATTCTGCTCAAATTCTGAATAATGAAGCTTTCTAAATGGCTTTTTAGGACACTGCAGGTCAGGAGCGGCTCAGAACACTAACACCCAGTTACTATAGAGGTGCACAAGGTGTTATCTTAGGTAAGTATAGCTTTGCATGCTGTTTTGAGTAAGTTTGTGGTTTTTTTGTGCATTGGAGTTAGAGAAAATCATGTAGCCATTCTATAATATCTAATTGATATTAAAAATCGTTGTATCTGTGTTGAACAACTCATACAGTAAAGGATCTTGAATTGGATAGTCTGACCTCTTCTCATGTAGTCAGTCTCACTGGCCTGAGAACTACCGATTTTTCATGAGATTAAAAGCTACTGCTATTTGAAGGGATAGCTCGGAGCTGTCCCTGTGCTGCTAGAAATTTGCCTTTTATTTATTACTTTTGGTTTTTTGCATGTGCTTACTAAGCCCAGAATCAAAACAAAAAAAAAGATTTTTCTCTTCTCCTCAGTGTATTCTTTCTGTATCAGGATACTTATACAGATTTCTCTTTTTCTTCTACCTATTTCTTTTTCTTAATTAAATTAATATAAATACTGTGGAGTCTGGCTGGGATTTTTTGCTATTTGTGACTCCATACTGATGGGATGTTATGCAGTCAGAATCACTTAGAAAAGACTAGCTAGCTGGTAGTGTATAGAGCATCAGTCTGTGGAAGAAACCCGGGCCAAAACCCATAATCTCAACTTCACAGTGGAAGTCCCTTTTGCTTTTCTTTTGTATGCGGAAACCTGTTAACTAGGCACTGAGCTTTGAAGTTCTGCTTCTCCACTGCTAGAATTCAGGAGCTAACTAAAGTAAGGGCAGGGAAGTAAGCTTAATTTTTTTTTGAAGCTGCTTCTGACTTGAGAGATTCTTGGGGAGTTATTGTGTCCAGTTAAATTAACTTGGAATGACCTCTGTCATGAGACTTCCTGGTAGGTTTTGTTTTGTATGTACTGTTTCTCAAGTCTGAACTGCATTATCTTCCTGGTATGGGAAGATGCTGTCAAGGCATGTCTTCTCAAGTCACTTAATTGCTGGCACTGAACCTGCCACATTACTATTGAAAGCCGTAAAAGTAAGCAAGCACTGTTTGAGAGCTAGAAAGTTCTGCTGTTGAGATTTGCTCTCTCATTTTATTTAATAATCTTTCTTGACTTTTTCTTTGTTAAATGACTTCCTAAAAATAAGGTTGTTCATGCAAGCCAAGCTATAGATTTGATGGAAACCAACTGTTTATGACTGTCTGCATGTGGGATGTGAGAATGAAGGAAAAAATACTTTCATAGCTTGAAATGGTAGCTATTAGATAGTTGCTGGGTAGTGGATTTTAGGTTTAACAAGGTCTGCTTTTTGTCTGCCCTTTCTGCTCCTAGCATGGCTTATTATATTACTTGTATCCCACACAAATGCTAAATAGTTTGGAACACTAAAATGCTGAAAACTCAGGAGTTTGCTGGTATTTGTGAGGATTTGGTGATTGGTTTACCTTTTTAGCTAAATCAGTAGCATAGCAGCAGTGTTATGCAATCTTAATTATCACTGATTAACTCGGTGCAGAAGGTCATTCCATAATCTTTGCATATCTTTTGTGTATTGGTGTTAATAAGTATCCTACATCAGGGGTCTGCAAGTGTAGAATTCTTTGGAGAATGGTAGTCTCTAACCTGTAAACTAGGATGTCTCAATATAAATTAGTCTGAGAAGAGTAGATGACTGAATCTTAGAATTCCTCTGCATTAGTATCATCTGTGACTTGAGCGGGTGGACATTCAACTCTCTTCCCAATTGTTGTTTTGCTGTAGTAAGTGAATTGAAATCCTTGGGACTCCTTCAGTTTTCTAATTCAAAAAGCCTTTGTTTTTGCTCCTTTTGTAACATAAGCTGTATTTCTTGGAAAAATACTGTGGAAATAATATTGCTAATATCTTTCAGTTTATGATGTCACGAGGAGAGATACTTTTGTCAAGCTGGATAACTGGTTAAATGAACTGGAAACATACTGCACAAGGAATGACATAGTAAAAATGCTGGTTGGAAACAAGATTGATAAGGTAAACTGAATTCAACTGCAGTAAGTAATCTGTTGGTGTATTTTGTTAATAATGCATATTAATGCTGTGTCTTGTAGGAAAACCGTGAAGTTGACAGAAATGAAGGTCTCAAATTTGCAAGAAAACATTCCATGTTGTTTATAGGTATGTTACAGATATTTGCAGAGATCTGACTTGATTTTTGTTACATGATGTAAAGTACCACTTCTGTAGGACTGATAGTCTTTATACGTACAATCCAATTAATGATACTTCTCAGCTGCAGTAGGTACAAAGAAAATAGGGACAATTTTAAAAGAGATGGGAATACTTAAATATGTCCAAATACCTGTTGTAACTGTGGATGAGAATACTGAAATGCATAAGGATTAAGGGTGGAATACAGGTTCTACTGTAGTCTGACAAAACTTGGGTTAGGTTTGGGATTTTGTCTGATTTCTTTTTCCCAACCTACTTGCTAAATTAATAACAGAAGCAAAATGAAAGAGAGAAAATGAGCCAGCTTTCAGTATAGGAAAAGAGCTGGTACTTGGCAGAAATCTATATTAGAACTGGGATGTAAAAATAGGTAGGAATATAATTAACTTAAATGGTGGGTGGGATTGAATAATGACATAATCATGACTGGAGCAAACGTGTTGGTCTCATCTTGCTGCAAAATGAGATGGGTCTTGTAGGCAAAGCCTTGTAATGTAAATTAAAGTGGGTGGTGAAGTGATTCTTTATGCATAAGTTTATTACGTTTCATTTAAGGATCAGCAGGGATTACTTTATAGGATGACTCCAGTAGCAAAGCAGTCCATTGACATTTCCTGTGCTTAGACTTATGCTCCCATCTCTGACTAGTGACATATCTTTGTCTAGTACCTTGTTGTGTTTCGTTGACATTTCCTGTGCTTAGACATCCCATCTCTGACATATCTTTGTCTAGTACCTTGTTGTGTTTCTTTTTGGCTGCAGTGTCAGATGTGGAAATAGAAGTTCAAGGCACAAGCTAAGTGCATGGAAGATGAAACATGAAAATTAGACTATATAACTAAGTGTACATATATCTGCATGCTACACATGCTGAGCATCTGCATGGCTGTGTAGAAGCACAGGGCAAGCCCTAGTGGGACTGAACAGTTTCAGATGGTATCTGTTGCTCTCTTGGGCTTAGCCAAAGTAAAGCTCTGGAGTAAAATTACCTAGAATTCTGTTAACTGCAGAAGAAATGAGATCCCTTACTGCTTTTTATCAGATAAGTTCTATCATGGAGGCTGACCCAGAATCCTACAGTATGGATCCTGTTATGGTGGTACTGCAGTTCTGACTAATGTACAGAACTGAAATGCAGGACAGCAACCAGGTTTATCAGACATCTTAAGTTATTAGAACCCTCCTTTCTTCTTACTGAAGTGCTTTCCACAGAAAAATAAAGTTAAGCTATAGCTGTCTCCATATGTTTTAGTGATATACAACATGGAAGCTCTTCTGTTAAGAGACTTCTGAGGTGCTGCCTTATGTGGTGACAGAAATCTGCATACCTGCTAATTTTGGCACTTCTACGTTGTTATAGAATATATTGTATAAGTTCTAAGCCTAGGTTGTAGGTTGAGACTTAACTGAAAGAGAAATACTAAACAAGTTGCTGGAAGCTATGCTAACATTTGACTTCTTGCATCCCTTCTCCAGAGGCAAGTGCAAAAACATGTGATGGTGTACAGTGTGCCTTTGAAGAACTTGTTGAAAAAATCATTCAGACTCCTGGACTGTGGGAGAGTGAGAGCCAAAACAGAGGTGTAAAGTTGTCAAACAAGGAAGAAGGATATGGAGGAGGAGGAGCATGTGGTGGATATTGTTCTGTGTTATAAACTTTGGGAAGCTTATTCTTTGCATATTTAAACAGATACTGACATCTTTCTGTACATAAATTCATTAAATGCTATTTTTAGGGACCTTGCAGTTTGCACATACTTGTTTTGTATCATGGCAGTGAACACTTGTAGGAAAAATGTTCTGCAGCTTTCCCAGTTTGAAAATGTTATGGTAAGCATGCCCGATTTGCAATCTTCAGGTTTTTATAAGTAGCATAAATAACGTGCAGGAACAAATGCACTAAAAATTTTACGACTGTATACATTCATCATGTAACTATTGTAAACAAATCCATCTAACAAACACGTTACTGCATTATCTGTTCTCTGTCTTATTTTTAAATACTCTTGAAATTCTAGAACTATATAGTGTGCACAGATCTTGAAAACAGTGTGAGCTATAAATGTTACATTTCATTTCTTCTAGTAAATGCTTTTTTATGGTATTAAAAACAGCAAGATTATACGTTTCTTAGACAAATCTGCTCAGTTTTTGTCTTTCAGCAGAGCTGTCTAAAACACAAATTGGCACAGGCCGTAGTTGGTATCAGCACCTTCTTGAAGAGATGCTTTGAAAGCTTCCTTTGCAAAGCTGGGGGACGCCCTTTTTTCTTTTTAATTATCACTTCAGTTGATGGCTTAACTGGAGTTTTAATCCTGTGATATTTATATACTAAATTTGTTGTAGTCTTGCACTCTAGGTTTTTATGATGCGGTCTGCTCTAGACTTGCTATAGAGAGTCTTCATTTTTGGCAAGAGGTCTTAATGACATCTGTGTTCTCTCATTGTGTAGCAGTTTGCCACACTTCGGTATGGATGCCTAATTTTCCTAAATGTTTGTAATATAACTTTATCTCAAACTGTAGCTCACTGTGGCTGTGAAGATCTCTATCACATGTCTGCTTTGTGCAGCTACTTGTTCAGAAGTAAAACTTCCCGTCTCAGACACTAAATGGGAAGCTATAGGGCTTCTTGATCTCTGTATGGAAAAATACTATTGGAGGGAGTATTCCACTTGAATTTACTGTATCAAAGCCAATGGTTTGTTTCAGAACACTTGTATAAACTAATAAATTTTTTTTCCACAGTATTCAACTTTTCTAACCTCTTCCTCTTGTAGAGTTGTATATTTTCTAGCACATACAGTTTAAACCAGGTCACTTCTTATAGACAAATTATTTCTGATTTCTGAAGGACAAGACAAGGATGCTGTGGTATTGTGTGGTGTGTGTTGTTTTTTTTTTTTAACCACTATAGTGCAATCGGTAACTGAACTATTGGGCAGTTTCTTGTAAATATAGTGATGACGGTACCTTTTATTACTGCAAGGTTTTGTGTAAATGTCAGCGTATATGATCTGTATTTTGCAGCAGGTCTTGGCTGCTTCTGTTAAAATATACTTTGTTCTTCACTCAGAAACTTTGTTTTCTATTTGTTTTACACTTGCTAGGAAACAATACCAAAATTTGAAGACTTAACCATGCTAGTTTTTACCAAATATTGTATCTATAGTATTGTTAATGTAGTAGGGTAATTTAAATATGTAAATGTAATTAATATTAAATATACATACATATTGTATTAAAATGTTAGGTTTGTATTACTGTTTCATGTAGAATATGTGGGCTGAGCAAATCTTGTTTTAGCCTTGAGGTCAAAGGATTTCTGGTTTTTGTAGGCTCGCAGTAGAGGAAACTCACAGGAGTATTAAAACTCCAAAACCCAGTTGTGTTAGCATTACTGCAGTAGTACTGGGCAAGTATTGTAATGCTCGCAGATGCCTGTAATTTATTTCTATGCCCATTTTCCCCCCTCATCTGGGTTCATCCCTATGTTGAGAGGAGAGTTACTTTTCAGTTTCTCATGAATCACATGGACCTGGATTTATCTTTCATTCTGCCTTCGCCAGATGTGACAGCTCTTGTCAAAGGGAGGAACTGCAGGGTACTCTGAATAGTGGGGGGTGGTCTGCAAAAGAATCAAGGCGTTTGCTCCCTCTTTCCTTGCAAAACTTTTCTGGTGAGAGAAGAGTATTCTGAAATGGCGTATTTAGTGAGGCTGAGAGCAGTTAGACAGCTTTATTTTTTTTTTTTTTTTTTAAGAAAAGCAGGTGTTTTCTAATTGACTTGCAAGCAACTCTTCTATGTCCATCTTTTAAGCATGTTTGGTTATGTCCCTGAGGAGGGGCTCTTTATCTATAGTCACCACCTTTCCTCACTGCTCTGTCAAGAAGCTGCGTGCTGGAGGGGGGGGTTCCTGTGGTTCCAGTGATTTGATAGAGCAAATTTAGCATCCATTACTCTTGCTCTGCTACGTATTTTTTTAATCCTTCCTCTTCTCTCTTTTTGAAAGCTGCCATCTTTCAAATAAGATTGTTCCCATACTTCCAAAATTGTTTTCCGTCTTTGCAGGTCAGAATTGTACTGCCATTATCTCCAAGTCAGTAGAGGAAACTCACAGGAGTATTAAAACTCCAAAACCCAGTTGTGTTAGCATTACTGCAGTAGTACTGGGCAAGTATTGTAATGCTCGCAGATGCCTGTAATTTATTTCTATGCCCATTTTCCCCCCTCATCTGGGTTCATCCCTATGTTGAGAGGAGAGTTACTTTTCAGTTTCTCATGAATCACATGGACCTGGATTTATCTTTCATTCTGCCTTCGCCAGATGTGACAGCTCTTGTCAAAGGGAGGAACTGCAGGGTACTCTGAATAGTGGGGGGTGGTCTGCAAAAGAATCAAGGCGTTTGCTCCCTCTTTCCTTGCAAAACTTTTCTGGTGAGAGAAGAGTATTCTGAAATGGCGTATTTAGTGAGGCTGAGAGCAGTTAGACAGCTTTATTTTTTTTTTTTTTTTTTAAGAAAAGCAGGTGTTTTCTAATTGACTTGCAAGCAACTCTTCTATGTCCATCTTTTAAGCATGTTTGGTTATGTCCCTGAGGAGGGGCTCTTTATCTATAGTCACCACCTTTCCTCACTGCTCTGTCAAGAAGCTGCGTGCTGGAGGGGGGGGTTCCTGTGGTTCCAGTGATTTGATAGAGCAAATTTAGCATCCATTACTCTTGCTCTGCTACGTATTTTTTTAATCCTTCCTCTTCTCTCTTTTTGAAAGCTGCCATCTTTCAAATAAGATTGTTCCCATACTTCCAAAATTGTTTTCCGTCTTTGCAGGTCAGAATTGTACTGCCATTATCTCCAAGTGCACTTTCACTGTTGTAGCTGTAACGCAAGCACATCTGAAACTATTGCGAGCTCTGTCATAACCTCTACTTAATACTGGTTTAAGCCTATGTCTTTGTGGAATATTGAGTATTGCAGTCGTGGAATTATGTGCAAGAGATCCTTCAGTCTACCTCAGCAGGTAGCTGAGGGATAATGAAGGTAGCTCCTGTGTGCTCTTCGTCAAGTAATGAGAGTGTGTCCATTTCCCTGGCAGACAGCTTTATGAGAAAACACTAAACCAGAATGCGATAACTGAGAAATCTTACATGATCATGACAGACAGTCAAAATTGAAGTTGTTTCTGGTTCATTTACTCTGTGGTCAATATTAAAAATATTGACTAGCAGTTAAGTACTTGTGGCTGGCAAAGGTTTTCTGTAGTCTTTACACTAGCCTGGAAGAGTATGGTGCAGCAGTTGCATCTTCCTGAACATACACTTGAGAATACTACTAAGTGTTGTTATGGTTTTGTCTTGGATTTCTTCTTCCACTGTTTTTAAAAAGGGAGGTGGGACAGGCTTCTGGTGGAGATTTCAAGTTGCCTTTTTTTTTTTTTGTTGCTAGTGGGGCTCTTATCCAAACTACAGCATCACTTTTCCTGTTCTACTGCAATCATGAGATCAACAGCTGGCTCAGAGTAAGTCTTAACAAAATGAAAACCTGAGTTCACTAAGTCCCCAAACAATACCAATGACTGTCTCATCAGCCTTGGTGGAACTTCAGGAAACAGTGGTGGTCTTGCTGCCATCGCATACCACAGTGGCAACTGCTCTGAATACTCCACTCTGTTAGTTCCCTTGCTTGCCAGTAACCTGAAGGATATATAGTGAACAACAATAATCCTTCTAATCTTGCCCCATTTGATGTTTTGAGGCTGAATGGGTCATGTTTTTTCAAATGCTTGCAAACTGCTATTTAGTTATGGAGAATTTATATGAGTGTTCAAGGTCCTGCATCCAGCCCATATGTGCTACCTTGTTGAAAGCTCCTGTAGTAGTTTTCAGTGTCTTGCTGTCCTTCATGAAGGTGTCAAGAAGCAACATCAGCACAAGCAGGGCTTTTTCATGTTGCCAGACAAATCATTGCATGGTTTTTAGAGCTAGCTGAGCCTTCAAGGGCAAAATATAAGGTGTTTTTGCTGGTCACTTTCCAACTGCATTGGCTTTTGGGAAAAAAATGAGAAGCTCTCCATTAAAACTGTTGCAAGTTTTGTAAGGTTTCCACATACCTTGCTCTTGAGTACTTGCGGCAGCTTAATTAAAAACTGATGAAGGGTTGTGCAGGCAAAGAACTGGGAAGGTGTGTTTCCAAACTACTGCATGCTTATATTCTGTAGCTGATTTTAATGTGAGAGTAAGGAGTCTTGTCCTTGTCCTTGTGCCAGAGTAACATCTGGTCCTTTCTGGTAGAGTTTAAATGGTCGTGGTGGTTAACTGCTG